CCCCGCCCGCCTAGGCCCTGGGCGGCCTGACCTTCCGCAGCCCGGCTGGGGTCCAGCTCCCCTCCCGGGGCCCCCTCCGCAGCCGCACGGAGCCAGCTGCCCCGCTCCCCGCCCCAGCTGGGGACAAGGAGCTGGGCTCGGGCTGACCAAGCCGGCGCGAAGCTTAGTGACCTTGGGCGAGTCATGGGACCTCCCTGCGGGGCCCCTGACACCACAGCGCCCGGAGAAAATAGTACGGAGCCTGCCCCCCCCCCCCGGGTTAGACCATGCAAACGCCTGTCCTGGAGGAATTTAAGGCCCACTGGGGGGCGGGCGGGGGGGATGAGTCGGGGGATCGAAGCCTGGAGCTGACTTGCAAAGGCTCGGCCAAGGTGCTCGGGGTGTACTGGGGTACCAAGGAGCACGCTGGAGGGTCGCTGGAGGGTCGCAGGCGCCTCGCACGGCCTGATGACACCTTGCCTTTTGCCACTGTGCACAAGTCTCCACGTACGGTCCCTTGCCTGCCTGTTACTTCAGGATCCTTCCTCCTCGGTTGTAACAAGATGCCCGCGGCTGACCTCCCTGCTCCGGTGGAGCCTCCTTACAATTTTTCTGACTTTATGACTTTAATCATCTACTTAGGGTGCCACAAATAAAGAGCAGCTAGTAGGCTTGCGTGCGAAGAACCCACTATTTAGGAGTATCAAACAGTTATTCATGCCCCCCCATCACATGTACCCCCTGACCCCCCCAGTCACTGAGCTTTATAGCGCTACTGTCACAACTTTGTTCCAGATTGTGATCTCAGCCTCCTCTTTCTTAAAAGTCCTAGAAGGGGGTTTACTTTTCCTTCATTTCCTTCTTTGCTCTTAAAGTTTCTTTGCCAAAACCTTGATTTCTGTTCTGTGTTCAGCTTTTCCTTTTTTTTTTTTTTTTTTTTTTTTAAGATTTTATTTATTTATGAGAGACCTACAGAGAGAGAGGCAGAGGGAGAAGCAGGCTCCATGCCTGGAGCCTGACATGGGACTCGATCCTGGATCTCCAGGGTCAGGCCCTGGGCCGAAGGTAGTGCTAAATCGCTGAGCCCCCCAGGCTGCCCCTGCTTTTCCTTTTCTTCCCAGCCTTTCATTCCTTTTCCCCCCTAATTATCCCAGTAGGAATGATTTACGTTTACTACAGCCAGAACCGTAGTTATCAGCCTTGCCAGAAAGGTACATAGAGGTGTGTGTGTGTGTGTGTGTATGTGCTCATATTTTGGGTTCCAGGAACTTAAAATTGGGAAGGGATTGTGATACCTACTTCCTGGGGTTATATACTGAACATGAGAGCTTTGTCAAGCTTTGAGAGCTTATGTAAAGCTTCTGGTATGAATGCTCACCACCCAGTAAGTGGGGGCTGCTGTGACTATCTTCTGGCCTGCAGGCCGCCCTCAATCTCTCTGTTGTTATTTTGGGTTGTTGGTGACGAGTGTCAGCTGTAGAGACCACCTGCTTCAAATCCGCGCCCTGCCGCTTTAAGTCAGGAGCGCTCTCTCCAACTGCATTTCCTTAGCTGTAAAATGGGGATAACTTACACTGTGTCAGGGTTGTGAGGATTCAACGAGTTAAGAGCTTGGAGTATTGCAAACAGTCCCTGGCATGTCATAAGCACTCAACAAAGTTAATATACTGTTCCTGTATAATATTCTTTTTTTTCCTGTATAATATTCCTGACCAAGGATTCTCTTTTTTAAAAAGTCTGAAAATTTTTAAACATATGGAAAAAATTATTACTGTGCTGAAAGTGGAAGTTGGTCCTCAACTCCTCCAAATCTTTTTTTTTCCTCCTACCTCTTATTCTTTTTAAAAACTTTTTAAAATTTTTTAGATTTTTTTTTTAAGATTTTATTTATTTATTCATGAGAGACACAGAGAGAGGCAGAGACTCAGGCAGAGGGAGAAGCAGGCTCCATGCAGGGAGCCCGATGTGGGACTCGATCCCGGGTCCCCAGGATCACACCCCAGGCTGACAAAGGTGCTAAACCCCTAAGCCACCGGGGCTGCCCAAGATTTTTTTTTTTTTTTTAAGTTTATTTGAGAGGGATGGAGCACAAGTAGGGAGAGAGGAAGAAGAAGACTCCCCACTGAGGGAGGAGCCCAACATGGGGCTCTGGGGCTCAACCCCAAGACCTGGAGATCATGACCTAAGCCAAAGGCAGACACTTAACCATCTGAGCCCCCCAGGTGCCCCTCCTGCCTCTTATTCTTGACCGATGTTGGTGCCACATCATCCCATCTTCCCCTTGACAATTCCGTTTCCAAATATCTCCTAGCCTGGGGTCTCTGTAATTTCCCACCCCACCTCTTCATTACTATCCACCTACTCGATATTTCTCTTAGCATCAAGTCCAGATGCTTCATTCTTCTAATTTCCCCAAACCAGATGCCTGCTTCTGCCTTCACCCTGTTCATGTCCCTGCTTCCAAAGAGGAAACTTCTAGGGCAAGGGATTTGCTAGAAACAACAGCATCACCTCTCTGCCTTCCTGCCTTCTCAAATTGAGTTCTCTTGGCTACTTCTCTTTTCATCAGCTAATTCCAATCCCCCAGCTAACCATGAAAAAAAACAACAACAGTAAAAGGTTATCTTTTTTTATTACGTAGCTATCAAAAACGGTTCAGAAACAGGCACATGGCCTTTAAGTGAAAACAGTAAGCTATCCATTATTATTTTGATTCTTTTTTTAAAGATTTTATCTATTCATTCATGAGAGACACAGAGAGAGAGGCAGGCAGAGACCCAGGCAGTGGGAGAAGCAGGCTCCATGCAGGGAGCCCAGAGTGGGACTCGATCCCAAGACTGTGAGATCATGCCCTGAGCCAAAGGCAGATGCTCAACCACTGAGCCACCCAGGTGTCCCTTATTTTTTTTATTCTAATCAAGAGACAAGAGGTCAAGATTTATATTTTTCCTCTCACAGAACTTCTATAAGGCTGGTCTCCCTTGCCAGTGCAGAAATTCATCATATTGTTGTGATCTGCACTATTTGACAATTGAGAATAAAAAAAGAGGCCATCTTCTTCCTTCATGAAGAATATGCATTAGGTATATGGGCTTTCCGAGGACTGAAATTCGACTGATACTCACTGACATTAGCCATACCTGCTCCTGAATGCTGAGGGACTTCTGGATCAGGTGCTTCATGGCTGCTGCTCAGAGCGCCTAGTAATCCTTCATCGGCCTGGTTCCCTCTTCCTCTGTGCCCCATGATCCAGCATCTGAAGGGTTAACCCCTGGCACAGCTGGAGGCCTCTGGGACCCAGTTGGAGCTGGTGGTTAAATATTTGGCACATCACTCCTGGACCTCCCTGGTGCCATTGCTTGTTCCTAAAAGGCTGAATGAAAGCAAAACCTTTGAGTTGTCAAGAGCATTGCAGCGTCTCCAAGGAACCATTTTAAGCTGTCCCACAGGAAGCATCTTTCAGAGCAGAGTGGGCACCAGGCCACACAGGGCTTGGGGATTTGGAACAACAGAAGATTTGTGAGTGTACTTTAAATCTCACTGAAAAGAGAAATTTAAGGAAATAAAGAGCAAGAAGGAAAAGAAGTTATTCTTTTAAAGAAGAGGGTAGGTCTTCCTCCTCTTTCTACCCACAGCACCTAGCATAGAGCTGGCAGGCGTGTGCACATGATCAGTGTAAACTGAGTGAATGGACGCCTCCTGCTTCATCATGACGATATTGCTGTTGGAATAATAATAACTCACCTTTGTACAGCACTTTAGAGTCTACAGGCGGGTGCTTGGCACCTTGTAAATCTCCAATATAATTGACACCTGTCAGCACGTTCATTTTTTTCCTTTCAGGTGTAGTCCTGCGCAAAGTTTCTTGTTTTTTCTGCCAAAGGAAGGTAGGGAGTTGGCCAAGGTATTACAGGCAGGGAGAAGAAATTATAAATAATGGAAAATAAAGTCTTGTTCCTAGGGAAAGAAATAGGTTAGTGATTTGTTCTAAAAGGGGTCACAGTATAGTCAGCTATACCCTCTGGCTTCTGTCTTTTTTTTTTTTTTTTTTGAAGATTTTTATGTATTTGTTTGAGAGAGAGAACAAGCACGAGCAAGGGGAGGGGCGGAGGGAGAAGCAGAAGCAGACTCTGGAAACCGGATGTGGGGCTCCACCCCAGGAACCCGAGATCATGACCTGAGCTGAAGCCACCCAGATGCCTCCCGCCTTGGGCTTGCATCTGAAGCGTAAGCAGTAAGCCCTACTCAAGGTGGCCCTCCCCGCCTGTCCTCCGCAGGCCCTGCCCTGGCCCCCCCCGCAACTAGCTCCCCCTCACCACCACTCCCCTCAGCCTCCCTGGGCCTCCAGCCCAGGCTGGACTAGGTTCCCCTTCTCTCACTTCCACAGCGCCCTGCTGCCCCCTGATTCATGACATTAGACTGCGAGTAGATCGTGATCTCCTTGGGGGACAGGTTATATCTTCGGATCTCCAGCTAGCCACCCCAGAGTGCTCCTGAAAGGAACATTTGCATTCCCTTCAATCAGAAACCCCTGGGAGAGGGGGGGGGGGGGGAGACCCAGGAATCTGCCTTTTTTTTCTCTTTTTTTTACACTCCCTCTCCAGGTGATGCTTAAACCATTTGGAAAACCACTGTGCCGCGGAACCTGGAATTATTATTTTTTAAAAAAGATTTTATTAATTTATTCATGAGAGACAGAGAGAGGGGCAGAGAGACACAGGCGGAGGGAGAAGCAGGCTCCGTGCGGGGAGCCTGACGCGGGACTCGATCCCGGGTCCCCAGGATCACGCCGTGGGCGGAAGGTGGCGCTAAAGCGCTGCGCCACCCGGGCTGCCCACGGAACCTGGAATTAGCCGGAGGGGGCGCATTTTGAGGTGTTTGTGTCTCGTCCCCTGTTGGGCTTCCAGTCGAGAAGGCCTGGGGCCGGAGCTAAAAAAAAAAAAAAAAAAAAAAAAAAAAATTGAGTACTTTTGCAAAAAAAAAAAAAAAAAAAAATAATAATAATAATAATAAACCACCACCATGAGCTGGCTCCGCTTTGTGCATTAACTGCTGTGTCTGTGTGTCGGGTGTGCCTTCTCCGCGCAGGCCTTCGTGCGTGCCCCCCGCCGGGCCGTGAGCCGGGGCCGTGAGCCGGGGCCGTGAGCCGGGGCCGTGAGCCGGGGCCGTGAGCCGGGACCCTGAGCCGGGACCCTGAGCCGGGGCCCTGAGCCGGGGCCCTGACCCCGAGCCCGGCCGAGCCGCAGCGGCCGGCGCCGCTCTCCGAAGATGAACGACTCGGAGCCCCTGGACCAGGCTCCCAACGGCACCCTGCTGCGCGGGCCCCGCCCCCAGGGGGGCCCCCAGGACCTCGTCCACACGGCCACCCTGGTCACCTGCACGCTGCTCCTGGCGCTCGCCTTCTGCCTGGGGTCCTACGGCAACCTCGTCGTCTTCCTGTCCTCCTTCGACCCGGCCTTCCGGAAGTTCCGGACCAACTTCGACTTCATGGTCCTGAACCTGTCCTTCTGCGACCTGTTCATCTGCGGGGTGACGGCGCCCATGTTCGCCTTCGCGCTCTTCCGCTCGGCGCGGGGCCTCCCGGACGCCTTCTGCTTCGCCTTCCACGCCACCAGCTCGGGCTTCGTCATCATGTCCCTGAAGACGGTGGCGGCGATCGCGCTGCACCGGCTGCGCATGGTGCTGGGCCGGCAGCCCAGCCGCCCCGCCTCGGTGCCCGGCGCCGCGCTGCTCGCCGCGCTGCTCTGGGCCAGCAGCTTCACGCTGGCCGCCCTGGGCGCCCTGCGGGCCAGCAAGGCCCAGCTGTGCCTCCCCCTGTCGGGCCTGCCGGCGGCGGAGGGCGCGGCCGCGCCGTCGCTCTACGCCGTGGACTTCAGCTCCTGCGTGGCGGTCGTGGCCGTGTCCTACATCCTGATCGCGCAGACGCTGCGCAGGAACGCGCGGGCCCGGCGGCGCCCCCCGGCGGCCGCGGCGGAGGCTTCGCGGCCGCCGCCCTTCGCGGGCGGCCCGGGGCGGCGGGGGGCCGAGCCCGCGCTCTACCGGCACCAGGGCTGCCCCCGGCCGCCCGCGCCCGCCGCCCGCCGCCCCGGGCCGCCCGCGCCCGCCGTCAACCTGGCCGCGGCCAAGGACTCCAAGGCCGTGCTCACCTGCGTGGTCATCGTGCTGTCGGCCCTGCTGTGCTGCGTGCCCCTGGGCGCGGCGCTGGCGCGGGGGGCGCTGTCCCGCGGGCCGGCGGCGGCGGCGGCGGCGGCGGCGGCGGCGGCCGCGGCCTCCACCAGCTGGAGCTGCTGGGCTTCGCCCTGCTGTTCCTCAAGTCGGGGCTGAACCCCTTCATCTACTCCCGCGGCAGCGCGGGCCTGAGGCGGAAGGTGCTCGGGTGCCTGCGGGGCGGCGGCCTGGGCGCCTGCGGCTGCCGGCAGAGGACCCGGCTCCGCGCCGTCGGGAAGGGGAACCTGGAAATCAACCGGAACAAGTCGTCCCACCACGAGACCAACTCGGCCTACGTGCTGTCCCCGAAGCCGCAGAAGAAGTTCGTGGACCAGGCGTGCGGGCCCAGCCAGTCCAAGGACAGCGCGGTGAGCCCCCGGGCCTCGGCGGGGCGGCCCGGCGGCCCGAGCAGCTCGACCCCGGCCGACACGCGCCTGGAGCCCTACTACAGCATCTACAACAGCAGCCCGCCGCGGGGGGACGGCGCCCCGCGGGCCCCGCGCTGCCCCGGCCTGGCCGCGCCCTGCGGCGCCAGGCGTCCGCGCGCGGCCGGCGACCTGCTGCGAGGCCCCGGCGCGGCGGGGCCCATCCCGGTGCCCTCGGTGTAGCGCCCGGGCCCACGCCGCGGCGGGAGGCGCTGCTGCTGCTGCTGCTGCTGCTGCTGCTGCTGCTGCTGCGGGCACCCGCGCCCTCCGTGGCCGCTCTGCGCCCCCGTCCCCCGCCGCCCCGGTCAGCCCAACCGCAGGCCCTTCGGATCCTCCGACGTCTGCAGGAGTCTGCAGGATCCGTAGCTTCTGTGCATTTGCCTTGCGGCCCCCCAGGCTCGGAAGATCCTGGCGAAGGGGTTACACGAGTGGACGGTCACCCCGCGCCGCGCCCCCGCCTCGGTACTAAGCTTCTCACCAGATGCCGGGGATGCTCGCGCTGAGCTACGGGGGGCACGAACCCCTGTGCGCGTAGGCGTCGGTGTTCGGGGTCCTCGAAGGACACGGGAGCTGGATTTTTTTTTTTTTTTTTTAACCGTGGGAAGGTATGATCTTCACCGAGACGGACTCTTTTTTTTTTTTTTTTTTCTTTTTAAATGAATCGAACTCTGAATTTTGACCCTCTGAAGCGTGGAGAGGGTATTGTTGTTCCAGTGCACCCTCTCTGGTAGCGGGTTTACTTGAAGACCTACCGCAGTGTCAAAGCGGAAAATGAGAAATGTTTTCTCTGTGGTTACCCTTGACCCAAGACACACAGGCACTAGGTACTTTGCTTTCGGCAGACAGTCCAAGTAGTATGATCGCTCCCGTTTCTTATTCGAGACCTCATTCTTTTGTGTGAATCGACTAGCTGTATAGTTTTTTTTGTTTTTGTTTCTTTAAAGAAGTATGTTTCTGCTTGCTAAAAATGAATTATTCTATTTTGGAATGAGCTTACTACCCAAGGACTGTTCCTGTAGTGGAGGAATGTGATTTCTGGGAGCAGAGGCACTAACGGGGGCCTCTGCGCCAGGGCCTGGTGACGTGGGTCGCAGTCAGGACTGCTGTTGCGTGTCAGATGATCTTCATTATTGCCTAAGAAGGTGTTAAGAATGAGATCGGAAAAAAAAAAAAAAAAAAAAAAAAAGAATGAGATCGAGAGGATTTCCATCTACGCGTCGCTTCTGTGCAAGGATGGCTCGTTAACAACCTGACAAAGAGTTTCCAAGTCACTATTTAAAAATGATTTTTTTTTGGTCTTTGTTTAAATATCACTATGGTAACAAAAACATTCTTGAGGTGATCCGTTCTCAAAATAATTGTGTGATTCCTCTCCCATTAGTCTTGGTAATGGGCAATAAGGAAAACTAGAAGAAGGAGTTCTTTACCTGGAACTAATTTTACGATGGACTCTGTGATTCCTAGCATAACAACCGTAAATTCACATTTTTTATGTAAAGATATTTTCATTATACTGTTAGCTTTTGAACTTGCCACAGCTTTGGAACTACAGCTGTTAGGCTCAAGATGGGCATCAAGATCCAAAACCTGTCTTAGGAATGGTCCTATTGGAGAACTGTTGCTGCAGGCTGGAAGGAACTGTGTGGTTCTGGATAAAGGTATGGACGCATAGCGCCCTCTCCAGGCTGTTCCGACGTACAAGAGTGCCCCGAGGTGCGGAGAAGGCAGCCGGAGCTCTGCACAGCCTCGCCCAACGCCCCCCTTCCAGCGCTGACCAGCCGTTTTGTTTCTAGGTTTCCGTGTGAGATACGGCTTTTCTTTTCTTTTTAAATTCACCTTTTAGGAATTTTTCCTTCCCTTCCTTCTCTCCTTTTCTTCCTTTATTTTTGCTATTAAATTTTATAGCGCAAGAGAAAACACCCCCTCTGTCACATTTGTTCTTGTTTGTATTTGGATGCTATTTTTGGAAGTCACTATAACCTATTTCAATTATGCTTTTATATTTTTAATACGACACTGTCTTCATTTATTACCACTGCCACGAGATAGGTTAGTATATTACCCCTTTTTAACAAAGAACTACGAAATCTAATATCCTCTCCCAAGATCGTTTGAAGATAATCCTAATTAGGGGTTAGACCTTTGTCAAAATTTAGAGCTGGCTCTTTATTCCAATAAGCCAAGAGGATACTTCATACTTTTTAAGGTGTGTTTCTCGTTTTTGGCTAGGCATTTCCAGTGTGATTCAATAAAAGATTTTTTAAAAGTAATTTTTACTTGTAAAATTTAAGCTGACAGGTTTCTTGTACGACTTTTTGAGTTAGGGACGACCCGATCCATCTTTGGGAGGTAAAAGTTACAGTATAAAGAAAAGGAAGCATGCGCATATGAGGTACTCAGTCTCTTTGTGCTCATCGAGAAATTACTGATTTAACTTGCATGAAATACATGTTGGGCTAGATTCTTAGCCCTCCTCCACATCTATCTCTACATCTATGTGGAGTTACGGAGATAAATGTAACTTATCTCTTCATAAGTTATATATGTCTATCCATAGAGGGAGATATGGATAGGTACATATAACTTCTCTATAAGGGCTAAACTGAGAACTAAAAATAATGAGAATTCAGTTGAATGTGACTAATTATTAGCAGGGTATATTAATTAGTTCTCTTGATGCTTTACTGTGATGCAAAGTATGTGATGTATTTCAAACATTTTATAATTGTTCTGATGTTGACCTTTAGGCCAGATTTGTATTTCTGATGCTTTTAATGTTCTTTTAAAATAATGTTTGGAAAATAAAAACCCTAACATTTCTGAACATCAGATTGCAGTGCTATGACTTTCCTGCCCAGTCATTTGAAAACCATCAGTGGAAAGTAGTGATGATTATTGCACCGTAGATAACAATGTGTTGGCCCTCAGCATTCTCTTCTTTAAGAGATGAAATAATCATGGGTTTTGTTTTAATTTTATTTATTTATTTGTTTAAAGATTTTATTTATTCACGAAAGACACAGAGAGAGAGAGAGAGACGCAGAGACACAGGCAGAGGGAGAAGCAGGCTCCACGCAGGGAGCCCGACGTGGGACTCCATCCCAGGTCTCCAGGATCACGCCCTGGGCTGAAGGTGGTGCTAAACTGCTGAGCCACCCGGGCTGCCCTGTTTTAATTGTTTTTAAAGTAAGTTCTATGCCCAATGTGGGGCTCCAACCCACAATCTCGAGATCCATAGTCTTATGGTCTACCAAGTGAGCCAGTCAGGCGGCCTGAGTCCCCAGGAGCTCTTTGTTTTTATTTATTTATTTGTAAATATTTTATTTATTTATTCATGACAGACACGGGGCTGGGGGGTGGGGGAAGGCAGGGGGCAGGCTCCATGCAGGGAACCCAATGTGAGACTTGATCCCAGGTCTCCAGGATTATACCCTGGGCCAAAGGTGACGCTAAACCCCTGGGCCACTGGGGCTGCCCTATTTTTAATTTTTATTATTTATTTATTTATTAGCGAGAGCACGAGTGAGCATATGCAAGAGCTGGGGGGGGAGGGGCAGAGAGAGAAGCTAACTCCCCGCTGAGCAGGTAGCCAGATCCTAGGACCCTGAGATCATGATCTGAGCCAAAATAGATGCTTAACCGACTGAGCCACCAAGGCGCCCCCTCAGGATCTCTTTATTGGTTCCAGAGAGTTCTCTGGCTCAAGATCAGTGCTGCATATGTTGGGCAATGTTGGTTATCTCATCAAAAGTGGTATTTCCATTGTGCTTAATGTTTTCCTGCTTCTCTCTCTTGGTGGTTCCTTGAGGGCTTTGATAATTAGGGGCAGAAGGTACCACGTCATTCCGGGCCTGTCTGTTCTGAATGGTCGGTTTCACTGTAATCCTCACACCCTCCCAATCACCGTTTCCCTTGGTGATGTCATCACCAACCGTTTTTGGAGACAGACCCACAGGACCTGTTTTGGTAGATGTGCCACCAACTTCCCCACAGATGTATGACTTTGATCTCACTGGGGCCAAACCTAGGCAGCATGGTGGAGGCTGCTGGGTTTGGATGAACCCAGATTCAGGGTGACCGAAGACAGTTGCACCTTCGCCTCCTTTGAGCTAAAAGCCAAAAGCAAAAATGCGTATCCTAGAATTGGTGATAGAGACGGTGTGTATAAGATGAGGGAAAACTCAAAATTACAGTCCTGCGATAGATAACGTAAAGATCCTTCTTTGAAACTAATATTTTGAGTAGTTTCTTGGTTAGCAACTCTACGTCCAGGAGCAATGCCCTCCTAAGATTCCATGTGGGAATTCTTTTATAGATCAGGAAGGGGACACTAACAGAGGGGTAGTGGTGAAGAAAAAGCAGCATGAGATCCTGCAGAGTTAAGGCACAAAAGCCTTCTTTTTTTTCTTTTTAAAGATTTTAATCTCTATACCCATCGTGGAACTCGAACTCACAACCCCAAGATCAACCGACTGAGCCAGCCAGGTGCCCTGACATAGAAGCCTTCTTCAACAGCTCAGTTGTAGGGTCCTGAAAATGAGCATCTGTAAACCTCCTTTTTTTTTTTTTTAAGATTTTATTTATTTATTCATGAGACACACACAGGCAGAGACACAGGCAGAGGGAGAAGCAGGCTCCATGCAGGGAACCTGATGTGGGACTCGATCCCAGGTCTCCAGGATCACGCCCTGGCTGAAGGCAGGCATTAAATCACTGAACCACCCAGGGATCCCCTAAACCTCCCTTTTTCATTTTCAAGTTATTCATACCCCAGTTCGAAGATTTCTACTCTAGGCCACCAGAAGCACTTCTTCTGGTTCCTCTCCAGATCTGACTTGTGATTATAGGTCCTTCTTAAAGAATTCTCCATAATCTAGCCAGGCCGGGGTCTGGAATCTTCCCTTTCCAAGCCACCCTCACATTCACAGTTCATTCACAGTTCAGGGCAATGTATACCTGGGGAGATTTTTAACTCCCAGGAAGACCTGTGTTTTCTCCTGTATCCACCAAAAGCAGTTGTTTTCCATTAACGAGAGAAGCTCAAGGTCCCGCAGAGAAACTCACTCCACTGTTCTACTGGAGTTGAAAGGAGGCCAAGAGTCAGTGGAGATCCCAGGCCTATGGGAGGCTGGCAGGCAGGCTGCTGGAAAGGGCTCGTCTCCATCAGATTCGAGAGGCCAGGCCAGGCCTGGACTGGGGCTAGAACACGAAGCAGCAAGCTGCACTCTGCGGGCCAGGTGCCCCTGGCCCAATGTGACGGAGGCAGGAGAGCCAGAGTCACCGGTAGGAGCAAAGACAATGACAGCTTGAAGCCAGATGGGGTCATCTTTGAGAGGCTGAAGAAGGGAAAGCAGAAAGATAGGAAAATCGTCCCTATCCCCTCCCCGCACCCCTAAAGGTGGATCTGCAAAGGTCATTCTGATGATTTTCCATCTCCTGGCTTCCGTACCATTTACATGCCAATGGCACTCAATTTTGCATCACTAGTCCTGAGCTCTCCCTGAACTCCATGCTGGTCTATCCAATTGCCCGTTCACCGTCTCCACTTGGATGTCTAATAGGCATCGCAAATTTTAGCATGTGCAAAACTGAACTCTTGATTTCAACCCCACTCCCTACCAAACTTGGGCCTCCTGCTGTTTTATCGTCTCAGGAAATGGCATGGCAATTACACAGTCCCACAGCTCCGCTTGTTGTCCTGGACTCTCTTGCACATCACATCCAATTTGTTGGGACAAGAATTATCTTGAAAATAAACTCTGACTCCCACTACTCACCTCTTCATCTCCGTGCCCTCTAGCCCGTGTTCCCCATCATTTCTCACCCTGGGGTGTGAAACCCGCCTCGTAACCATCTCCCAGCTTCCAGTCTGTCTCCTGTTGTCTCCCTGCTTTGTAACTTGGGACATGTTTCAGGTAAATCATATTTGCCACTCTCCTGTGAAAACCTTCCAGTGGCTCTCCATTCCACTTAGAACAAAATCTGAAGTCCTTTTTCTTTTTAATATTTTATTTATCTATTTATTCATAAGAGACACAGAGAGAGAGGCAGAGACACAGGCAGAGGGAGAAGCAGGCTCCATGCAGGGAGCCCGATGTGGGACTTAATTCCAGGACTAGGATCACACGGAACCAAAGGCAAGAGCTCAACCGCTGAGCCACCCAGACGTCCCAAAATCTGAAATCTTTGCCACGACTGGCATGGTCCTAATGATCTGGCCCTTGGTTTCCTCTCTGTCCCCATTTGCTTTCAGTTGTTCCCTGCCTGATGGGGATACAACAGGCTTTCTGCCCCTTATCACATGCCTCAGTTTTGTTCCTCTTTCCCTGGCTTGTAGAAGGTCACCTTCTCATTGTGTCCTCACAGGGCCTTTCTCTGTGCATGCAGGGGAAGAGAGGGGGTGGGGCAAGGAGGAGAGAGAGTTGGGGGTGGGGGGCTCTTGGGGTGTCTCCTCCTCTTCTTATGTGGACACCATTCTTTTCAGATTAGAGCCTCACCCTTATGACCTCATTTGCCCTTAATTACCTCCTTAAAAGCCTTATCTCCAAATAGAGTACCATTGGGGGTTAGGGCTTCAAATATGAATTCTGGGGGGACACAATTCTGTCCATAACAGTTATGTATAATGAATGAATCAAATAATAAATGAGCGAATGGCTGAAGCCTGGAAGTGATCTCAACCCTAACCTCTACCTGGCTGGCTGGCTTAGCCTCCCCACATTTGTGGTTTTTTGTATCGCTCTCTACGTCCCCAGGGTGGTTATCAGCAGGACTCTGATGAAAGGGGACATGGATCTGGATTCAGGATTTCTGACTGTTGACGCAGGGAATCAGCTCTAAAGGTGTCTTCTCCCAGGGGCCACCCTGGCCACCCAGGTGCTGCCAGACAACCTGCATTCATTCTCGCTGGACCTCTTTGGCTCCTGACGCAGCCTGAGGAAACGGAAGATGAAAGGAAACTCTTCAGCAGCCGCAGAGAAGTTAACAGAGTGAAGGGGTACCTGGGTCTTGGGGGGAGAGAAAGGAGAATACTAATTACTTTAAAGTGCATGGCAGGGACGCCTGGGTGGCTCAGTGGTTTAGTGCTTGCCTTGGGCCCAGGCTGTGATCCTGGGGTGCTGGGATCAAGTCCCACGTCGGGCTCCCCACAGGGAGCCTGCTTCTCCCTCTGCCTGTGTCTCTGCCTCTCTCTCAGTCTCTCATGAATAAATAGATAAAATCTTAAAAAAAAATAAAGCATATGGCAATTTGAAAAAAGTCACAGATTCAGTGAAATTCTGTTTTCCATGAAGAGACAGTTAACAGGCAATCTCTCTAAGCCGAATGGCTTTTAGATTAATTTTACCAAAGTAAAAATATCACTTTGTTGCTTATGGACAAATCAGTGAATTTTCCCCTCCTCTACTCCAGTAACCAGGTAATTTTGCTTCTCCATGAATACACTTAGCTGGTGCCAAGAGAAGTTCAGTTTGTTTCTGAGTTCCATTTAGGTGAATGTTTGCCCTTCTGACACGTTCTTGAACCCCTAGCTGGCTCGTAGCATGCTCATGAGTGGGAGATCTTTCATCTGACTCCCAGTGTGGGAATCTTGATTTTCATGCAAAGCCTGGTGTTCTGCAAAGTGCAGCTTGTTCAGATAGACCTTAAAAAGTGGAGCAATTTACAAAGAGTGCTTTATGCCTGTCTTCTGGGGCTGTGGCACTAGGGTAAATTCCATAATCTGGGTCAACGCTTACGTCGTATTTTGTATCTGACATTAGCAAGAGCTTATGAAAGCTTCTTGCTCGTTTGTTTGGCTTTAGCAACAACATATGTCAAAGAAATGGTAA